TCCAGTTGTCCTCCTCCTACAACGCTGTTATTGCAGGTATGACTCCGCCCCCTGTGAGCAAAAGGTGTGAATCAGGGCCCCAATGATACCAACACAAAGAGGGGAAAAAAAAAACAAGGGGACTTTGAGCCCCGCTTGCATTCACTACATTCACATAACACGAAACGGGTCAGGTGATGGGTCACATGACCCTCTATGAACAATAGAACTGATCAAGCCTATTGTTAGACGATGTTCCTCTTTTGCATGTGACTAACCTGTTTGTCCATGTGGAGGCGGAGCTTATAAGGCTGAGTTCACCTGAAACTCATCAGACTGAAGAAGTCTCTTGGAGGAGAGACGAAACGTTTCACTAAAGAAGAACCATCCAGAGGACCTACTGATTTTTTTTCCTTTTTGATCTTTAAGAAGTCTCCAGTAAATCCAAAGGGTCTGATCTGCTGGCTTCTTTATTGTTTTTTTGTGTACAGTACCCTGAGACAACAGCTGTTGTGACTTGGTGCTATATGTATAAAAAATGAATTGAAGTCATGGATGTTTGTTCAGGTGAAATCAAGCTCATGATTTCTGCCACAACTCGTAACTGAACCAACAGGGACTTCATGACCATTTGGCCTAGTTTTCTTTTTTTGTTCATAATGTCCTTCATATTCTAGATATTTGCAAATAACAGGTTAATGCTCAGTGCAGTGCTGCACAATCTGGTTAGCAGTTCAGGAGTAAAAGGGCAGCTGATGATGATGATGATGATGATGAGATGTCACCATCCCTACAGACATGTCTGATCTTTAAAACAGATGAGATGAAAACCTTTACTGAGTCAGATGGAAAAAATCTAAATTCCTGACTCAATTCTTAACTTACTTTTAGTGTCAGTAGGTGGAAAACATTTCCTTTCTGTTAAATGACAAAAAAAAAAAGATTTTAGTTTGTTTCATTTATTATCAAAACACAAAAACTACCTGCAACACAGAATAGAGTCCTGATGGTCTCACCTAAGAGTTCTTCCTTCAGAGCTTCATTCTCCTTGGTCAGGATCAGGACAGATTGATTTGTCTTCACAGCTGATTAAAGAAACAGTTAAGATCAAAGTCAAAGCCATGCTGGTTGTAAATACAACAAAAATGTATATTTCCCTGTGTTCAGTTTGTTTCCAGTCTCTCTGTGTTTCCTGCCACTGTTCTGTCCATCTTCTCTCACCTGTTCTCCATCCTTATCAGAACCAGCTGCAGCCACTTCTCCAATCAACCACAGCTTTCTTCAGTTTCTACTCCAGGTCTATCTGTGTGAGTCCAGGCTCTGACCATGTTTCACCCACCGGTACTTAAAAACCTTCAGGTACCAACGCAGTGATGGAACGTCAGTGCTTTTGAAGATTCAAGCATCACTGATCTGATCACATGACACTGTTCAAACAAATCAAGCTCCAAAACAGAGCTTAGGTGTGTGTGTGTGTGTGTGTGTGTGTGTGTGTGTGTGTGTGTGTGTGTGCGCACATGCATCAGCTCAAAGCCTTGCTCTGACTCATTCATCATGTCTGAGAAATCCTGCAGTGTTTTTATGAAGCCATGCTGAGGAGCAAAACGACAGGTGGGGACCAGAAACACCTCTGGGACGTGTCTTTAAGCTGAACTTCCTCATGGCAGAGCGCCCCCCCTCCCCCTCCCCATGCACCCCGCCCATGACTCCTGCAGGCTCTCGGGTCAAAGTGAAAGTGAAACCTAACTGTCTGCTGAGCTCTCAACATTAGTTC